GTGGCCGAGACCTCACCAGGCTGGAGCCAGCATCATCCTGCCCAGGGCACCGTGGTGCTGGGGTCCTGCCTGGTGCTCCTCAGCCCTGGCTTAGCACCCTCTGGGCAGTGAGCTCCCAGTGCCTCGGCCCCTCGCACCTCTTCTGCCACGCCTCATCCTTCCCTGTTTGCACCAGCTTGACTCACTGGAGGCTCTTCTCTACCATATTGCCTCCAAAGTCCCAGTGTTCCAAAACTCCTGGGTAAGGGACACCATTGCACCCTTTGTCAGCCCTCCCTGGGCTCTGCCATCTCTGTGCTTTTAATTCCTTGCCCTGCTGTGGGAGCCCAACGTTCAATTCCTTCTGGGAGGGCACAAAATCCACCCCCACCTCCAGGGAGTGTGCCAAGGCCATCTAGCAGACCAGGGGCTGTGTGCCTCTGTCCTCCCTGATGCCTCCGCTTCCACTTTTCACAGGGTAATTAGTTAATTAGTGAGACAAAGGAGGCTCAAGAGGTGAGACACCCCGGTAAAGGAGAGGAGCCAGCATTACAGGGCCTGTATGTTAGGCAGCGGTTATTTCACATGGGATATAGACAGAGTCCTTGGAGCAGAGGCTGGAAGCTTCCAGAGCAGCTCATTGCCAACATATTTAGACTTTCATCAGGGAGCTACGAAATCAGTCCCCTTGGAGACGAAGCAGAATTGCAGCAGGTCTCTGACCTCCTGGCCGGATGCCCTGGCCATTAGGAGAGGAGATAAACAGAGAACAACAGCTCTTTCCTCTCTGGTCTTGTAAGGAAAAAGCTTGCTTCCTCTGCGCTTGTCCCTCGGCTGTCCCCGGCTCCTGCATGAGAGCCCAGGGAAGAGCTGCAGCCTCTGGATGATGGTGTTTTCCAGACAAGGGGTACAGAAAGGTGATGTTTTGGACGTCCTTTCCCTGCTGCTGCTTCCCCCACCTCCTTTATCAACTCTCCCAGGTGCTTTCCCCATGGCAGGTTCAGTTTATGGCTGCAGCCGTTGGCTCTCCCCACCCTTCGTGTCATCTTTGACACAGATCGAGGTACAAGGGCCAGGCTGGATGCCAGCAGAGTTTGGCCCATCTCACACTCACTGTCTCTTCAGCTGATAAAAGGTTGGGGGTATCTCCACTGGGGCCACAGCTGGCAGCTGGCTGCCACGAGGGTACCACGCTGTGTTCAAGGCACTTGTCCCTCTGCGGGGGTGTGTATTTGCGGCTGTAATTTCCTCTCCTGGGTCTTATCGCTTGAAACAAATCTGTCCAAAGAGATTTGCCAAAACCTTTTGGCTTTTCAGAGAAGAGGAAGGAAGCGTGTAATGAAGATTACCTCCGCTACCAACTGGAGGCTGTGTGGACGGTTTGCCTCATGGGGCAGGAGGTTGGGAGTGCTCTTGGCAAGCAACCTGCTCTGGGGCTGCCGGGCCTATGTGCCTCGGATGCCCTGCAAGCCAAAGGAGCCCCAGGCAGGTTTATGATCTGTTATCTTGGAGGCCTTCAAGGTAGTAAGATAAAAAATGTTGTAATGCTCATATGGGTGTTAATTTTGTTCCCTGAGATTAATCCAGGTCTAGTCCAAGGAGTTCTCTTGGCTTTGGGGACAACATGCAAGCTGGCTGTGGTGAATAACACTATTATCTTTGTTTGCCTGAGTGTTTCAGTGCCAAACCCTTTAATTCAACAGCTCACACTTGGGGCCTGCAGTGGCTGGGAAGCTGCTCTGGTATCTGCTACAGGAGAGCCCGTGGTTCAGGATCATCAGACCTGTAAAATGGAAATATTGCTGGCAGCAAGTTCCCAGGGAACCACTCAGTGCCCAGTTGGCTACAGGATTTGTTCCAGCAATGGCTTAGGATTTTAAAGTTGAACTAGTAAATAGAAGTCCAAGGGAAGCCACACATCTGTGTGTACCTTAGATTAGCTCTTGTGGTTCCCTGACTCATGTGAGGGTTTTGCTGGGATGCCTACGCTGTGTTCGGGCTCAGGAAGCAGCACTGGACTTGGGAATCCAAACTTCATGCCAGCCTCAGGTCTCCTGGCTGGGGACTGTCCTACCTGGCTGCTGGAGGTTGTGCTCTGCAGATGGGTGCCTGCTCCAAAAATGCTCCTTCCCATGGGATTGTCAGCAGTCCTGGCAGGACTTCACCACCCGGGATGCTTGTTCCTGCCTCTCGGAGGTTCCCGTGGGGCAGCCCCATGTGTGTTCAGGACATCCCTCGGCTGCTCTCACCCCTCCAGGGGCACACAGCACCCACCCTCCTTGGGGGACGTGCAGAGCAGGGTCCCCGAGTCACCCCGCAGCTGGGGGATGCTTCACTAGGTGGCAGTCTCGGCTCAAGCAAAGGGACTGGCACCAGTCCAGGCTGTACTGGGAGGACTGGTTTCTGCCCAGTGCTGCCTGTTGGTTCATTGCAAGGCCAGACCTCGAGCTGCCCCTGCTTCCCCCTCCCCAGGTCTCCCCTGCCAGCTCCCAGGGAATTTGGGTCAGTCTGGGTTGGTTTCCACACAGGTTTTCCTGGGTTCGTGGGGCTCAGCAGGACAGAGGTTCCAGTGGCCACAGGTGAGCGTGGCAGGGGCAGCTGCCATCAGCTCAGGGTAGCCAAGGTGATGCTTATGCATTTATTGGGTCTTGCACTAAGCAAGCAGCTATCAGCTCATCCTTTACTTCAGATCTAAGAGATGGATGCCCAGATTTTGATATTGAAATCAGTGCTATAGGGGTATTTTTGTTTCTCCCCATGTCCTCATCAGGCTCTCGGAGCTGGGGCTGCTGAGGCAAAAAACTCTTCCCATGCACAGACATCACTGGTCTTGGTGGTGCGAGAGGTTGTTTGTTTGTCAGAGCTCAGGGGAACCTGCAGCCTCTCGTGCCCAGAGCACCTCTGTGCCCAGGAGCCAGGGGCAGAGAGCTGGCCATGGGGCAGTGGCAGGAAGGCCGTAGGAAACACCAACCTTTCTTGCAGAGCCTGCAGCAGTCACGCTCCAGCAGCCCCGTCGTGATCCTTCGGGATGTGCAGACTGCCCCGAAAGCATCAGGTGGGCACAAACCTGAGACCATCCGTCTCATCACCAAGGACTTCATCCGTGATCTCATGTAAGTCCATGCCTGAGTGGCAGCTCTGAGGAGCTTTTGGGGCCCTGCCTGTCTGTCACAGCACCATCTCAGCACACAGAGCTTGTCTTGCCATTTGCCAGGATATCTCAGGGGAAAAGGGACGGGCAGCAGCGCTCTGATACACCTGGCTTGGGCATCAATGGAGCCAGGAAGCACTGAGTGTTTTACAGAGGCACCGAATCATCACGAGAACCAGTGAAAAGCAACATAAAACCTCAGCAGCCAGAAAAGCTCCTCCTGGGCTGAACAGGCCCCCATCATGTATCAAATGCTGCCTCCTGTGCCCCAATACTGAAAAGCCTCATGTGAGAAAGGCAGCAGAGCGTCGCCTGAAGTCCCTGCACACTGGGAGCTGTGTTTCTCTACAGGGATGTTTTATAAGCAAGGCTGAACTGTAAGAACCCTGGCCCTAATTACTACACCTTGGTAAAAGCCTGCAGCACATAGATGAGAATAGGGCCATTATCCCGGCCAGCTCCAATTTAGCCTCATTTTGACCTCCCTAAATTTTCCTTGTAGTTGTTGTTCAGTGCGAGGTTCATTTTTGCTTCCTGTTTTGAATCTCCATGTAATGCTCTTACACCCTGTAAAACGTGACACCCGCCCCACAGATGGTTCGGGTTTGGGTTTTGTGGAGAGTGAAATGGCACAGAGGCACTGGTTCAGGCTTTCGAGGCTGGTACCTGGTTTTATACCTTCACATTCTTATTTGACCCTGCTGCCAAAGCTGGGGGCCAATTTGCAGATGTGTCGCACGGCCACAGCTCCAGCTGAAACTAATGGAAACTGTTTGTGCTGGTTTAATTCCTGAAAATCAGGCCCTAGACATCCCAGGCTGGTCACCCAAACACTGGGACGACTAAAGCAGTGGCCACTGTGTCATTACATTTATTAGTGCCGTTGTGACCATTAGCCATTCTTTAAAGCGTCCTGGAATCCGATGCTGTGATGCAGCTCTCGAACGATCATTATGCAGGTATCTGTTCATATTCACAAGGGTGGATGAAAGGTGACACACAATAATAATGAGTAAATTCTTAGTCCTGAACATCTTCAAAGTGCTCTATGCATTTGGTTAATATACGCTCCTACACCACACGCGTCACCATGGTATCTGAGTAATATGAAGAGTAATTAACTCCTTACAACTCCCCTGGAAAACAGCCCCGTATTATTATCCACATTTTTACAAGTGGGGAAATGGGGGCACCAAGAGCTTGGGTGATTTCCTCTAAACCACAGTGTGAGTCACGGGCAGAGTTTGTGGCTCTGCAGGACACTGCAGAGCCGGGGTGATGGCTGGAGGGACACCTGCCAGCACTGGGAGGGGAGAGGGTGCTCCGTGTTTGGGCAGCACGATGTTTCCTTGTCTTGTACCGGGTGGATTCCCGGGGCAGTGGAGCTGAAGCCAAGCTGTGCTGTGCAGATCTGGAGCCGGAGCAGGTTGAGTGTCATTAAACAGAGTGAAAAAGCAGCTTCTGCTCCCCAAAATCTGTCCGCACAGAACAGAGGTTTCAATCTGACATGCAGGAGCAGCGACAGTCAGTCTAGGGACAGGGATGAGCAAACTGTCCTGTTCGAAAAAGGGTCAGGGCAGTGGTCAAAATGTTCTCAAATGAGGGCTGGGAAAGTCAAGTTGTAGTGAAATACTTCCAGCATTTTTTTTTTTACTGGGGCTGACTTATGCCCATGCTGAATGTTTGGGGGTTTTCCCAGGAGGCCCCTGGCCACCCTGCCAAGCATCCTGTCCCCCATGCATCACAGCGTGGTGCTGCTTTCACTGCACTTTCTATTTCTTCCTCCCCCTGACCGGGAGAGTCCGGTCCTCACAGCTCGGGCGCTTCCTGCATTGCTCTCAGGTGACTCCTGGTCATGGAGCGGCTCCTGCCGCCCCTGGTGTGGGCAGCCCAGGCAGGTCCCGCGGCCAGGCAGGGAGGTCAGCGGGGCAGGGAACAGAGGGAGCTGTCGGAGACTTTGTGCCACTGACTGCTCTCTCTGTGTCCTGCTCCCCATGCCACCAGTGTCCCTGCGGAGAACCCGGTAGCATCCCTCATTATTGGCCAGGAAGATTTCCAGCGCATTAAAGCAGCAGCTCGAGTCCTGACCAAGGAGGAGCGTGAGGCCAAGCTGGCAGCCCTCAAAGCAGAGAAGGAAGCCGTTCTTGTAGGGATTTCCCCTCCTACCCCTTCTTTCCCTGCCTGGTGACAGGTCTGGGGCTGTGGGTGGGACTTGATGTGCCCAGGTAGAGCCAACCTTGTGGGTCAGATCATTCCAGCTGGGCTGTCCCCAGAAGCTCTCCTTCACCCCTCTTTCACCCATGTTTTGGTGAGCACATCGCTGCCGGGGCAACATGCAGGGGAGGCAGCATGGCTGTGTGTCTCGGGTCTCCTCTAATCCCCAGGCCAGGAAGGGCTGTGCAGCATCCCTGGGTTTGCCTGGTCCATGGGTGGGGAAGGAATCCCCCGCTGGTTGCATCCAGCAATTCCACACTGGTCACTTCCTAAGCCCACTGTGACCCCCGAGGCCATGCTGAAGCCTCTGTGCTGCATTTCTGCCACCCTGCAAAGGGAGTGGGGTGTCTCCTTGAGAGGGGTGTGGGAAGGGGCTACCTGGTCCCTGTGTCATGGCTGGGGGGGGCCTGCCCCTCGGCTCCATGCTGGGGACCCAGTGCAGAGGAGCGTGCCCCTCGTGAGCCAGGCTGCTCCATAGCACCCTTGGGTAGGCTCAGCCTTGTGGGGCTGCCCCGGGAGGGCACCTGTTTTTCGGCAGCCGTGCCTGTACCCCCCCCAGGAGGCGGTGAGTGAGCGCAAGAGCGTGGCGAAGCAAAGGGCCGTCCTGCAGCAGCAGACAGGGAAGCTGAGTGAGCTGGAGGAGGCAGCGCGGGAGCGGGCCCAGAACCTGCTGCGGCGGGCAAGCAGGATGCGCATGGAGCAGGAAGATGAGATCAAGGAGTTCAGCGAGGTAGGGACGAGGGGTCCCTTGCGTCACCCGGTACCACAGCACTTTCTGCAGATGTTAAGACCAGCCTGAGCTGCCTGCTCGAACAGGCTGCTGAGAGCCCCCGTGAGCTTCGCCTATCCCCTGCTCTACTTCTTGTTGCTACCCAGGGTCTTCCTCTCCTTCCCTTTTCCCCCTTCTCATCTGTGTCTGTCCCTGCTGCTGCTACCAAGTCTGGTCGGAGACCAGGAAGACCTGTTGTCCCCACAGCTGATCCTTGGTGCCAAGTGCCACATGATCCGTGACATGCAGATCCTTGAGAAGCAGCTCATTGCAAAAGAACTGGAGGAAGAAGAAAAGCGCCTGGCCATGATGATGGAGGTGGAGAGGAAAAAGGCCAACGAGATGCAGGAGGAGCTGGAGTGCAGGAGGAAGCAGGAGCTGATCAGGTTTGCAAAAGGGTCCCTCTTCCCTACGGAAGCATCCATCCTCTTCCCAGGCCTCGTGCCGGAGCTGCGGTAACCTCTGGCTGCTGGCTTCGCACCGCAGCATCCCTTCCAGTCACAGTGGCTGGACCAGGCAGCATGAGACAGCAGACATTCCACCTGGTGTCCGTGCCAGCATTTCTGCTTCTGGGAGTAGGACAGAGCAATAGGGAACACTTCCTTTCTTTTCTTTCCAGAGGGAGGCAGGAGCTTGTGAAGCAGATAGAGCAGAACGCGGAGGAGCGGGCTATAAGAGCCGAGCAGCGGGACCAGGAGGCTCAGGAGATGCTGGAGTACCTGGAGCAGCTGAAGATGGAGGACCTGAAGGTGTGACCGGTGACCTGCCAGGGAGCAGGGGGGCTGGAGTTAGATTTTCACCTTGTTGGAAGGGTGACCCAGAGCTGGGTAAGTCAGACTTGGTGTGTGGAGACAGCAGCCAGCAGAATTGAAGCTCTAGTCTCTTGGGGAAGTTGAGGCATCCTCAGAAAGTGACCTGGGCCACTGAGCCCTCCCTCGCCCCGAGTGTGCTGCTGGGCCCTCAGGAAGGCACATGGGGAGGAGCGGAGGCAGCGCTTTGTGCCGCGGCACTTGCCCTCTCACCTTGGACCCTCTGCACTGTTTTCAGGACTTGGAGCGGAGAAAGGAGCAACAGAAGAAAATCCAGGCCGAGATTAAACGCATCAATGATGAGAACCAGAGGCGCAAGGAGGAGCAGCGGGAGCAGGAGAGGATGGCAGATGAGCGGGTGCTCGAGTACCAGAGGCAGAAAATGGTAACAGGACTAAGCGTGTGTGGCACTGGCATAGGTTCAGGGGGGTTGGGGGAGGGCGCTGCCACAAGGCTCTGTCCCACGCAGGAGCGTGAGGCCGAGTTCGAAGCTGAGCAGGAGAGAATCCGTTGGGAGAAGGAGAAGGAGACAGCACGCTTGAGGGCCATGCAAGAGAGGGCCCAGGACCACCAGGCAGAGAAGGTGAGCGACACTTGCTGACATGTGATGTGCTCCCATGCTGGCTCCCTCACCACCTTCCTCGTCATCACCCTGGCAAAGTGGAAGCTCCCCTGGATGTGGTGGGTCTACTGCAGCATTGCAGATCTGGACCAGCACCTGGAGCCAGGTGATGTCCTGGAGCGGTGCTGGCCATGGCGCTGGCAAAGAGGCAAAACCACGGTCAAGTGCTTTCATACCTCCCCTCCCGAGGGAAGCCTTCCATGGCCTCTCCAGCATCACCAGTGTGCCCCTTCGGCAGGACGCACTGAGGGCCAAGCGCAGCCAAGAGGCTGCCGAGCGAGAGTGGCGGCGCATGGAGAAGGAGGCGGCGCAGAGGAAGGCTGAGATGGAGCAGATGCTGAAGCGGAGCCGTCTGGAGCAGATCGCCCAGCGGGAGCACAGCATGGCCATGCAGGTGCAGCAGGACCGCCACGAGTTCGAGAGGATCCTCAGGTGAGAGG